ATTGGGGTGTCCCGTCCCCCCCCCCGGCTGACCTCTCCTCCTTTGCCTGGCAGGAATTTCTTGCGAAAGGTCATGTTTGCCGGAGGCTCCGACAGTCCTTATGCCAAAGCGATGAGGGGACAGATCACCCTGTCCCAGGTGAGCCCTCGGGTACCAGCCGTGGAGCATCTCCGGAGGCTCGGATGGGGCTGGGAAGGGGCCGAGGGGGACGGGCTCCAGGATGGGCTGTGCTTTATTTTTGGCGGGGGGTCGATTGAATGACCACGTGGGTGTTTTCCAGCTCTTTTCGGAGATGGAAGAGGGCTGCAGGCAGCACGCCTCCGCCTCGGGCATCACCCTGCCGCCCACCTTCTCCGTCGCCCGAGCCTTCGAGGGGATGGCGGCCGAGGGGACGGTCAACGCCCCCCTTCTGCGAGCAGCGAGGGTGCTGCGGAGGAACGGTGGGTGCCGGGGGGCTTTTGGGCAAGGGGTGATGGAGTAAGGATGCTGCTCCCCTCCCGAGCAGGCACCATGAGGGTCCCTGGTCGGTCCCACCGTGGGGGTCCCTGGTCGGTCCCACCACGGGGTCCCCGCTTCGTCCCTCATCATCGTCCGAGCACTCTCCTGACATCGCCTCTCAGCAGCCTCTAGTTAGATGTTCTGAGCCCTGCTGCCAAATCCGTCAGACACGTTATCACCCAGCCAGCAATCAGCAGGACGCCGTAGCCCTTCGCCCCGCACCGTGGCCGGTCCATCGGCTCGGTCCTCAGCATCTCGGTGTGCCCAAGCTCTGGCTCACGTCCCACCTGCGTTGGGAGGGTTGAGCCTTGCTTTCCTGGAAGTACAAATTGGGCATAAGCTCCTGCTGAGCATCCTTCTGTCCCCCGCTGGGGTGTCCTGGTCCGGACAGAGCCTTGCAAATGGGAGATTTTAGGTTGGGAAGGTCTGAGAAACGTGGCTGGGGAGGGGAGGTGAAATCAAAACATTTGTGGGAAAGCTGGAGTGGGAAAACCGGTGCTCCCCGCTCTGCCCTTCCCCAGGATTTAAGACCTGCGTCCTCACCAACAACTGGGTGGACGACAGCGCCGGGCGGCTCTTCACGGCCACGCTGATGAACCTGCTGCGCCGCCACTTCGACCTGGTGATCGAGTCCTGCCGGCTCGGAGCGCGGAAGCCAGATCCCGAGATCTACGCCTACGCCCTGGAAGCGCTGCAGGCGAAGCCGCAGGAGGTACAGCCGTCACGCTAAAAACGAGGCACGGGGGGTCCCTCCAAGCACCCAAAGTCCTTGGCCAAAGCCAGCGGCCGCCCTTCCCTGGGGTGCTGAGCCTGGCTCTCACTGGTGTATCTCCAGGTCATCCTCCTGGACGACATCGGGGAGAACTTGAAGCCGGCCCAGGAGATGGGCATGGCCACCGTCCTCGTCAGGGACACCGAAACCGTCCTGAAGGAGCTGGAGGAGCTCTCGGGTGTCCAGGCACGTAGAGGTGGGCTGGGTCCCCTCTGTCCCCTTGCTCTCCTGGGGATGCTGGACCAGTTCTGCAGAGCCAGGAGGGATGGGCTCGGGCTTCTGGCTCTTGCCGTGATGGCGGTGCTTATACAGGACTTGTGGGTGGCTTTGGAAACGAACGGGATGGGGGCCATGAACTCCAGCAAATCCTGCCCACCCCCCTGGTAACCTCATCCCCTGGACCTGCTGAGCCCTGTCTATCTCAAAGGCATGGATGTCCCACCGGCAGCAGGGTGGTGGGGATGTCCCGTGGAGCTCCAGGCTTGCTCGGGAGCTCACCCTGTGTTCCTCACCCCGCGTTCCTCACCCCGCAGCTTCTCACCCAAGAAGAGCCGCTGCCGACTGCGTGTGATCCCTCCAACGTGACCCACGGATACGTGCCCATCCGGGTAGGGCGAAGGGGGCTGCCTCAGTGACAACCTGTCCCCGGGCTTGGCAGGGCTTGGAGCGGGGGGCAGGCATCCCTGGGAGGGTGTTGAGCCCCTGTTGAGCCCCGTGGAAGGATGTGCCAGCCGAGGGCTGGCTTGTTGGGTTGTCCACCCTCCTGCGTGGGCTGCTCTGGGTGGGGGATGCTGAGCCACCCCATCGTTGAGGTCTTCTCCATCCACCCCAGGGGCCAAAACGTGCTGGTGTGGCTCCGGGATGCTGGGCTGGAAGGGGGTGGTGGGCTCCCACGCCTGGTGGCCAGCGGTGGGTGGAGGGTTGGGGGAGTGAAGCCGTGCCACCCGCAGCCAGTGAGGGCTCTCCATCCCTTCCAGCCCGGCGTCCAGCTGCACTTCGTGGAAATGGGGCACGGCCCTGTCGTCTGCCTCTGCCACGGCTTCCCCGAGTCCTGGCTCTCCTGGCGCTACCAGGTGATGGAGGAGACGGGGAGGAGGGTGGACCACAGGGGCTGGTGGTGGGATGCTGGAGCGTGGTGGAGGGGGCGAATGGCCACCACTCCTGGGGGGCCCTGGGGCTGTCCCACCACCCTGCCTTGAGCCTTGAGGGACACGGGGGACAGCCCAGGAGTGTTCCCCACCCTCCAGCCTCACCAGCCCGCATCTGCCCTCCTGGGGACATCTCCGGGCACGGCCAGCACATGCTTGGGTGGGCAGATGCAGGATGGGCGCTGGTGCCGGGGGCGAGGGGGTCTGGGGGTCTCTGTGTCCTTCGGAGGCTGCTGCTTTCCCTCCTAGATCCCAGCTTTGGCTGATGCCGGCTTCAGGGTGATCGCTCTGGAGATGAAGGGCTACGGGGAGTCCACGGCCCCGCCGGGTGAGCTGGGCTTGCCGGGGCATAGGGGGGACAGGGGCATAGAGGGCTGGAGCTGCCAACCCCAAGGCCAAGACCCAGGAGGAGATGGGTGGAGGAGGCTTCTCCTGGGGTTGGGGGGGGGAAGCTGTCCCGCTCCTCCTGCAGCGCCGGCAGCTCAGATGGGTGCAAAATACATCCTTAGAAACGTGTGGATGTTAAAATGATGATGATGATGATGATGTCTTTCGTGCAGACGTAAAAGAATATTCCCAGGAGCAGATATGCAAGGTGAGGAGCTGCAGGGCACGGCCACGGGCAGGATGAGTGCGGTGCGGAGGGCAGTGTGGGCTGGTAGGGCATGGTCCCGGGCAGGATCTGACCCCTTCTCTCCTCCCTTCCCCAGGACCTGGCGGTTTTCCTGGATAAACTGGTGAGGAGCACCCCCCCGGCGATGGGTCCCTCCTTCGTGGCAAGGTTTGGGCGCGTGTCCCCCCCGGCTGCCCTTCGCTTCTTCCTTCCCATGCAGGGACAGCTGAGCTCCTCAGTGACTTTGTCCCATGCAGGGACAGCTGAGCTCCCCGGTAACTTTTGGTCCAAAACCCTTGGGGTAGCACAAGCCCCGTCTTTGTGTTCCCCGTGAATGGGATTTTAGGGATGGGGATGTTCAATGCAACCCATTGCCAGTGGGGAGAACCCATCCTTGGGAGGGTCTCCAGCTCTGCGTCGCCTTCTCCTGGACCTTGTGTCCTTGCTGAGGACAGGGAGATGGGCTGGTGGCATCCGTGGCTCGGCGGGGTTTTGATAAGGCAGCGAGATACTCGTGGAGAAGGGTGCTGGGCTGCATCCCCTCTGCCCCCCCCCTTAAACCCCGGCCGTAGCAGCTCCCAAATGGCTGGGGTGGCCGGGGGACCAACGCTGCCCCTTGGCACGGCTCAAATTCGGTGTCATCTCGGCATCTGGGTTCCAACATCCCACTTGGGTTTGGGAGTTCCGGGTTTAATTCCCATCCCGGCGAGTGGATGGGGTTGATTTCTGCGCCTCTTAAAAGAGATGAAGTGGAGGGGAAGAAGGCACAGCCCGCAAATGCCAGCACCTCCAGGGCTTTTTCCTTGCGAAACGGCTTCCAGGGGAACGAGTTCTTCAAAAAGCACAGTGCTAAAAAAAAAACCAGATGAGTCAAGAAAGAAGGGGAAAAAAAGCCCCTGAGGTTTTGCAAGGGCTCCTTGTGCGAGGAGCGGCGGTGGTGGTGTGCCGGCGTCGGAGCAGGGATGGGTTTTAGGGAAGGGGCCAAGCTGGGCGTCGCGGGGGCTGCAGCTCTGCTTTGGTGCCGAGCAGGCGAGGATAAATCGCCGTGATCTTTTTGCTGGGGAATTGCCTTCACGCTGGATTAAAAATGATAAGGAAAATAGATAAAGAGGTGATGCGCAGCCTGGCAAGCGGGTGGGCGCCCACTTTGCTTCGGGGTGAGCTCGGCAGATGGGATGCGAGGTCGTGGCGTCCCGTATGGATGGGACTTCGGTTTTCCCTGCTCCTCCGCTACCGTCGGGACCCATCCTGCTTCTCTCCCCCCCGGGGGGCTCCTTCTCTCTCCCCTGGGACAACCCGGGGGAGTTTGGGGAAAATAAATGACTTCATGAAGCTTCATACGTTGTTTGAGCCCATTTCTGGGACGTAGAAGATGCAGAGTGTTCCAGGAGCCGGCACGGTGATGGCCAAGGACGGTGGGATGAAACCCGTCAGCACCAGGGGGACCTGCCCAGCCCCACGTTGGAGGTGGGAGCTGCCGGGAGCCCCCCCAAACCCTCTGCCCCCCCTTGGGGGCTCTCAGACGCTGGGTTTCACGCCGTCGGATGGCAGCGAGCAGGACTCGCCGGCATGCAGCCGGCACCGAGCCGCATCCCCCGTGGGGGAATTTTAATTACGCTTCTAAATATCAGCTAATTATGAATCGGCTGCTACATTGTCAGGAGCGCGGGTTTTAATTGGATTTATTTGTAGGTGCCCAGAGGGGTCAGGAAAAAGGAATGGAGCAGGGGGGGGGGACAGTGAGCTTGGCACGCCCACCTCCGGGCGGGCCCCGGCCGGCCCTGGGGGAGGCTGCAAAGCCCTTCCCAGAGGGGCTGGGGATTTATTCGGCCGCGCCAATACCGAGACGTTCCCCGTGCTGTCACTCCAGCGATGGCAGCGGTGCGGGGGGAGACACCCCTACGGGTGATCCCAGGGGACGAGCAGCCTCCAGACATGTTTTCGGCGGATAATATCGAACCCCTTTTCCCCCCGGAGGGCGCAGGCACTTGGAATGTTTAATTAAGTTGGAGCAAATTGCTCCGGGCGATCAGGTAACGCTTGTTCCTTGGGGAAAAAAAAAGGAAAAAAAAACAAAAAGGGGGAAAAAAAGGAAAATATTGCTGTTTTCTGATCTCTTCGCTGCTTCGGGGGGAGGCAAATTGCCTTTCAGGCGCTGCTTTTGGGGTGCGGCTGGGGGGGGGGGGGGGGGCGGGGTGTGGTGGGGGGGTGGCGGGGGGTCT